AGTCAACAAGGAGGATATCGACTGATATTGGGTCGATAGATCTGTGTATCTCTAAAATACACAGTTATAGAGTGCCACAGTGACGCGTCCTAAAACCCGGAAGTACGTTAGCATGTTACCACATCCGGTTCCTACGACAAAAAAGCAATGGGATCTCTCCATAGGATTGTAGAAAATATCTGGAAATAAAGTCTGCGGTTGAGACACATTGAAGAAACGGATCACGTTTTGTTCTAGGACATTAAATCCATCAGCAGTGACCCCACTGGTGATTTCTGAAGAGTTGACGTGTCTGAAAAACGATGGTTGTTACCAAGTGGCTGAATAGGACTACAGAAGTTGTTGAGGCCGTTGTACATCATTACGCCGAACACGTAAACACTCCTCTAAGTTTGTTTGCCCTGTTCTGCTTGAAAGCAAGTACCTGCCTCCTGCAGACTGTTCAAACAAACGCCTCAACTCGTACCATTTAGAATCTGTGTGTTTGAATATGGATCTGAAGTTGGCGTGACGTTGAGGCAGCGACCCTGCTGTAGATCGTTTATAGCATAACGTTAGCATTTTGCTTCTGGCGACTAGATTTATGATTTTAGAAAATTATAAAAGTAGGGTAGACGTGTGGAGATTATCCGGCTGAACAAAACGTGATCCGTCTCTTAAATGTGTGTCAACCACAGACCTTAGTTCCAGCTATTCCAGGTAGGCCATCCAGTTATTTTAGCCGGTCCGGCTCAGATGATTGGTCGTGCTTTTTACAGCGCCACGGCTTCCACAGATGACATTTTTTAATGTATTTATTGTCAAAGTATTTAATGTATTCATTGCTATCGGGATGTTAAGACCATTCCATGGGATATAACAACAAGTGTTTCTGAAGTGAATTACATACCCCACCTTTAAGTATAAATAAGTAGAACCAAATTATAATCGGTTTTACTCGGCCAAATGTATTTGAGACAACATGTCCATGAAGTATAAAAGAAATAAGGTACTATATGTAATGTTATGTATATTAAATCTTATAGCAAAAGTAACACTACAGGAGTAAGATATTAGTTGGAATGATCAAAAACCAAAGTTTGAAGTCCAAGTGAAGAAAATATTTGGATACATGTGATAACATTTAGATTTTTGGGCCAACTTTGCAATCAATGAACTAGCAAAGTTCTAAATAAAGCTTCACAACCTATTTAGAGCAAGGTAAGGACACATCCTGCCTTTTTAGAGCGATATCTGCTTTGGACATAGCGTGCTTTAGTAGAGAAAGGTCAGTACTTTGGACTGGTTTAACCCCAGCTCTGTTTACCCTTGTCTGCTAAATCAGTGACATGTTACTGAAGTCTGCCAACATTCCTATAACACACTGCAGGAAAGGGAAACCCCCAAAAGATCCATAAAGCCTCTTTTAATATTTAGCGTGTTCGAGCGGTCCAAGTTTTCTATTGACTTGTTAGGGGAAGAAATTGCGAAATTAAGGGAAATAAATATTTCTGTGTGAAAAAACATTGTTTGAAATGAAGTAAATATGGCGTCTGATAGCCCCTTGGTTTAAATAAAAGGGAGAGAGAAGCCCCTCCCCAAATATCCACCTCCCGTTAAAGAGGTGTCTCTTTGTAACACGTTGCATGGCTCTGTTTATAGGTCAGACTGCGGAGCTAACCTCATTCTGGGCCTCGGGGAAGGAGAGTGAGAAATGAGATCATTAATGAGAGAGAATGAAAGATGGGGGGGGGGGGGGGGAGGGATTGAGGTAGTGCAAGCAAATAACTTGGAATAGTGTGAGTGATTGGTTGTAGAGGAAGTGAGGAAGGGAGGGAGGGAGGGAAGAGTGTCTATGCCAGAAGGGGATGCCCTCAGGATGTGTTTCCCTACTCTTTTATTTATTTCTCTTATTTATTTATACATTTCTCAGCGGGCTAAGCCATTGGCCGAGCTGCCAGGCCAGGGCTATTTTTATTTATCTCACTCCGACTTCACGGGGATTCCCTATTGGCGCCTCGTGATTGGCTGAGAGAGACATTAACCTGGTTAAGGTAGAGATCCTCTTCCTCCTGCAGACTCCTGCAGGTGTCAGGAGGCGATGCCAGGAGAATCTGTTGTGCCGGGGAAATCCTAAGAAATTATGCAAGATGGCATTTTTCCATCTAATACACACTTGACTAGAGCTGCACGATTTGGAAAAATTCATTCCATTTTTTGAGTAAAAAATATGTTTGAAAAGGATCATTTTTTAAAATGATTTCTCATCACATTACATGTTACTTGTTATTCGCTTTTATCCAAAGCGAATTACATACTCAATACTGGGTAATCCCCACAGGAGCAATTTGGGGTGAAGTGTCTCAGGGACACAACGACATGCTGACTGCAGTGGGGTTTGAACCTGTGACCCCTGATCCGAACACCAACGCACTATCCACTCCTAGTACTAGACTCCTATTGCTAGACTCCTGGTGCTAGACTCCTGGTGCTAGACTCCTAGTGCTAGACTCCTGGTGCTAGACTCCTAGTACTAGACTTCTAGTGCTAGACTCCTAGTGCTAGACTCCTAGTGCTAGACTCCTGGTGCTAGACTCCTAGTACTAGACTCCTGGTGCTAGACTCCTGGTGCTAGACTCCTGGTGCTAGACTCCTGGGGCTAGACTCCTGGGGCTAGACTCCTGGGGCTAGACTCCTGGTGCCAGACTTCTAGTACTAGACTCCCGGTGCTAGACTTCTAGTGCTAGACTCCTGGGGCTAGACTCCTGGGGCTAGACTCCTGGTGCTAGACTCCTGGGGCTAGACTCCTGGGGCTAGACTCCTGGTGCTAGACTCCTGGTACTAGACTTCTAGTACTAGACTCCTGGTGCTAGACTCCTGGTGCTAGACTCCTGGTACTAGACTCCTGGGGCTAGACTCCTGGTACTAGACTCCTGGTGCTAGACTCCAAGTACTAGGATGGGTTAAAAGCAGAGAACACATTTCACTGTGTGTGCTGTGTGCTCTGCATGTGTGACCATTAAAGAGGGTTTCATCCCTCCCAATTCTATTCTATTCTATAGACTGCCTTTTTTCGCAAACAATTATTGTAGGCATTTAAAGAAAAGAAAAGAAATAATTAAATTAATTCAGTAAAATATAAATAAAATGATTTTGTTAGGAGCTAATATATAACATTTTAAATATGTTGTTAAAGAAAAGTATGACCTTGAAATACTAACAGTTCAATATTGTTTTGGCACTTTTGGTGTATTGAAAAACAACTCAAACAGTATCCAGCCCTTGGCTTTTCTAAGCTAGCCAACATGCTTGTTTCTACCTGTCTCATTAGCAGTCATCATTATAAAATCCATTTGTATCAGATTTTCTATCTTAACTGTATTTATTCCTCTTTGAATGATGGATCAATGAACATAATGACTGCAGTTAGCAGCTGTAAAGCTTAAGGAAAGGAAGTGTTGGGTAGTTAATCTTAAAGGTCACCTATCATGCTATTTTTAGGAAATAGCATAGGTCTCAGATATATAAAAATATATAAAAAATATGTCTATGAAGTGTTTTGCTCAAGTGCTAGACTCCTGGTGCTAGACTCCTAGTACTAGACTCCTGGTGCTAGACTCCTGGCTCTAGANACCTGGGCTCTATGTGTGGGAAACCCTGCTATCTTACCAGTTCTTATGCAGAGAGAGAGAGAGAGAGAGAGAGAGAGAGAAAAGAGAGATATTTGCGAGTTGCATAAGAACTGGTAAGATAGCAGGGTTTCCCACACATAGAGCCCAGGTATAATAACGGCCGCCAAAGTATAATTCGCGAGCCATTTTTTTAATCCAGTAACCCTGCTGCGAGGTTCATGATCGTGCTCACTAGCGCACCTCCCACAAATGCAGATGTTCCCCATAAATGTTAAAGTGATGCCAGTAAACAATATTTCTGTTTGTCACAACCTTTATAATTATTACTAAAAAAATATATGAAATGAGTGTCGAATAAAGCGTCAGACGACAGAGACAGCTTTGTTTTCACGGAAAATAAATGGTGGATGGGTGCTAGAATTTTACACTGAGATTTCTTTTACCGTCCTTTTTTCTGTAGAGGAAGTAAAGAAACTGTAACTCTGGGTTTATTTGTTGTTTGAGGTGCAATGTATGACTCAGCAGCTTTAAGACATGAAGACACTATTCATTTCCCCTTCGCTCTAATGCATTGTTTTGACCGAAAGTGACGTTAGCGCCCTCATTCGAGAAAAAAACCCAGCTATACATTTTATTATAATCCTTACATAAGTTCAGGGGTTGATCTGGATGTTCACTGACGGCTTTATGCTTTCTATCTGATTGTTCGGCTTTTTTGATTTCTTGCGCTTTATACTCGCCATTTGTGTTGGTTTTATTGTTTTGGTTAGTAAATCCCCTTGTACCGTTTGTTAAAAAGGTGCACCCTAAACACAGGTTAATTCCCATCAGCAGTGTGAGGTGTTATTACCTGTGGCGGAGGAGGGAACCTCTGATATGGAGACTGTTGTTGTTGTTGTGGTGGCTGTTGAAGAGGGGGAGTCTGGGAATAAGGGGAATGTTGCCCCTGTTGCGCCTGTTGCCCCTGTTGCGCCTGTTGCCCCTGTTGCGCCTGTTGCCCCTGTTGCCCGTGCCCTGGAGGTTGCTGGGCTTGAGACGGTGTTCCTCCTGGTTGTTGCTGTTGTTGTTGTGGGGGCTGTTGTTGTTGTTGTTGGGGGCTCTGCTGTGGGCTTTGCTGTGGGGGTTGCCCTGCTCCAGGAGGCTGTTGATAGCCAGGTTGAGCTTGTGGACCCTGTTGACTTTGGGGTCCTGGTCCCTGTTGAGCCTGTGGAGGAGGAACGTAGTTTGGCTGTCCAGGCTGAGTTTGGGGGGGCTGGTTGTAGGGAGGTTGACCTTGAGGAGGGCCATGGGGACCTTGGGGTTGTTGGTAAGGGGCTCCTGGTTGTCCGTGTTGTCCAGAGGGCTGCGATGGGTGTCCCTGTTGAGGGTACGGAGCTCCAGAGACGCCCTGAGGCTGGCCTGCGTACGGAGGCTGCTGCTGCTGCTGTTGTTGTTGTTGGGAAGGGTGGGGGGGGGCGCCGTGCTGAGCGTAGTAAGCCTGACCCTGCTGGCTGTAGCCCCCGGGACCCTGCTGACCATAACCTGACATCTGGAGGAGAAAACAGAACATTTAGTTTAAGAGGGTGATGACAACTGCACAGCACATCACCAGGATCCATCCATGGAGGATCTTTACTCCCAGCAGCTCAGGAAGAAAGCCCTCAGGATTATCAAAGACCCCCATCACCGTTCGGGACTAAAACCACCAGACTCGGGACAGTTTCATCCCACAGGACATAAGACTGTTAAACACCTGAACTTTTGAAAGAACATCCATAACATTCATCCGTTTGCAACTTGGAATATTGATATATATATATATATATCTCAATATTCCAATTGCTGTATATAGACTATTCTGCAATGTTTCTATTATATATTTTATTTTTGTATTTACCTGTACCATTTTATCTGTTTTATTGAGTTACACTGTTGGAGGAGCCTGTGACCTCTGATTTTCATTGTCATAACCATACTGTAGCTATGCACATGACAATAAAAGTCTTGAAAACTTGAAGACACGGGATGATATGTGGGTATTGTCCACAGTAATAACTGTTGCAGACAAGTGCCACTGAAAGCTGATAAAAGCAATGGATTTCTCCAATATTATTCAAGATCTTTGCCAACAAGACTTAATCTTGAACATACCTAAAAATAAATCTAATTAAACAGTTTGTTCGCTGCTTTCAAATCATTCAAAGGTGATGAGCATGTTCTGCTGATGTGTGTGTTCACTTAACACAAATAGGATAACAGATAAAACTCACTTATTCACTCTAGCTTTCAAACTCTGATCAACAACCCCCCCTTTGAATCTTTTATTCGATGACAAACATAACTATTAGTTTAAGGTATGGGACGATATGAACATTTCACGCTTTGATTATCCTAACCAAAGATGATTGCAAATGTTGCCAGTCAACGTGTCCGAGAAGGTTTCAATGTCCCGGATATATAGGAAAAATATTATCTGTGATTATTGTTGAACTTAGAACTACTGATTTAATATAAAGAACACAATTATTAATAGATTTTAATCTTCTATTGAAAAGACGGCTCTAACAAATTCAAAAAAGTCCTGTCGAGCCTACACCGTACCTCCTAACACAACGAACTTCCGTCAGCTTTAGGCCGACACACTCTGATATCAAATAAAGCTGAATAAAAGCTATTTGTAAAACAACAAAAAATACTGTACATTAGGGCTGCATGATATATCGTGTCGTGACGATAATCGCGATATTCACATCGCAGGACGTGCGTTTTTTTTTTATTAAGTAGGCAAATTAACTAAAACACGTCATGTTACAATTATTTTGCTGCTTGCTACAAAAGGAAAACTTGCGCGGCTCTCATGTCAGGGGTACTTGAGTGAGTGACAGCAAACCACCAATCACAATCAAATCTCCAAAGCAAACGGACCCGGACATTAAAAGGTAAAAACACTGAATAAAGTAGGTTCATGTGTTTCTCCAGGGCAGTTTGGCGCTGCTAAACGAGCTAGCTCAGCTTGTTGCTCCGATAACTTAAGATCCAGGCGTCCGTGACTAAAATCCTTCACCCGGTTAAATATAGTTAGAAAAATACCAATTGTAAAGCATTAAAGTTCAAGAAAGGATGGTTTGCGGACAAAGAAAACTGTCTTTTCTTCAATTCCTGTATTTTTTCATATTGCAGGGGAAGAAAATATCGCAATGTCAGTTTTTTCCAATATCGTGCAGCCCTGTACATGCATGCTCGTCTGGCTCGTATCACTTTATACAGGGCGTAGAGTAAGTATAATGGAAATTCACAAAGATCTGCGTTAAAGGGGTAGAACAGATATGTGATTAAATATAACCCAGCAGAGTTTAATTGCCTCCAACATAAACAGCTTGTTCTCTTACTACAGGTGTATCCTGAGCCTCTCTGTGGAATATCAATCACTACCTGAACGCTGACAGGATGCTCTCTGGAGCTGTGAAAATATGTAAAAATAACCTAAATTCAAAGTCACCTTTCATATTCTCAGCGGAGAAATAAGAGCATCTCTTCATCTTACTCACAGATTGAAAAAGGGAAAGACTACCGCTATGTGTGTGAGCGAAGATAAGAGTGTGTTCCTCGCTATACACTGATCAGTCAAATCACACGAGGGGAAAAAAACATACATCCAAGTGTCAGAACGACTCGGTGTATCGCTTTAAAATCTGTGGGAATAGAAATTGAGTTCAGACTTCATCTCCTTGAACTTTCAGCATGAGCCCTTTTCATTTTCCTACGCGATCCAGCGAGCGGAAAGCCTTTCAATACAACACATTCGTTTCATTACTCTGAAGGAGCACGGGAGGAGAAAGGCCTGACCTTGTAAGGAAACATAGTAATAAAAAGATGCAGAGGAGGGAGATAACAATAAAAAAAAAGCCATGTATTGTTTTGGGAGCAGCTACTTGAGCGTTCAAGATAGTAAAGGATCGGCACACATTTTAAAACAACATGAAGTGGCTGTATTGTATCCGACAAATGGGAGGGAAGTCTTTTTCCTTCTCCGCAGGGCACTTATCGAGTCCACGGTCAGACACCAGGCAGGCCAGTATGAGATAATCACAACACACAATGGGCACGAGACCTCAGACAGCTTCACTCTACGGGATTCCCTGCATGCGTGTGTGTCTGTTAAGACCGACTGCATGCCGGAGGGTTCAAGTAGGGTTTTTACGCAGAGATATGAGGAAGTGGCTACGGCAAACTGGATGTTTTTAAATAATTGGACTACTCTGTCAGGAAGTGCTGCCCACTGTGCATGTATAAACAGCCTGCATTTTTTATCCCAACTTACAGGCATGGAAGTAAATCAGTCGGAGGAAAAATGATGGTTTCTGGCTTTGAGTCTCCTTCAGTGGAGTTTTGGTTGCAGGTGGAAAATAAGCTTATCTGTGGTTTTGTTGGGCTCTCCAATGACTTGGTTTGGATATTTGAGGATCAATGAGGTACTTCTTAAGTCTAACTTTGCTTTAGGTATAGCTACACCCATTAGCTCCACCGTAAAATAGAAGGAAAATGTGCCTTTAAGGAAACAATCCCACTTTTTAATGATAATTTCTGACGTGGAGCTAATCTGAAGTAAACATTTAATACTGCTTTCTATTCCTCATCTTGTGACTGTGTAACTCCCTCTCTTGGATATCAGCATGTGAAGGACACTGTTCAGGAACCAGTTGATGCTCTGTATGTGATGACTACTTCCATTCTGGAGAGGATCACAGATACATGGATCCTGAGGTTGAAGCTCAAGCCGGTGACGAGGGATTATTAACAGTTTTAAGTATTTAGAAAAAGTCAGAATATTGAGAAAAAGTCAGATGTTTGAGGAAAGTCATAATTTTTATATTTTTGAGAGAAAGTCATAATTTTGAGAAAAAGTCATGATCTTGAGAAAAAGTCATAATTTTGAGGGAAAAAATCAGGATCTTGAGAAAAAAATCAGGAGGTGAGAAAAAAAATAAGGATTTTCAGAAAAAAGACCCAAAGAAATGAAAAAACTCAAGAACCGGTATCTCTTCATCTTGTGACTATGTAACTCCCTCTCTTGGATATCAGCATGTGAAGGACGCTGTTCAGGAACTAGTTGATGCTCTGTATGTGATGACTACTTCCATTCTGGAGAGGATCACAGATACATGGATCCTGAGATTCAAGCTCAAGTCGATGACGAGTGATATTTTTCTAACATAATCTAAATCAATAGTTACTGACCTGTTGTCCGTACTGCATGCCGCCCATAGCGCCAGGCGTTCGGTTCTGCATCCCCATTGGATATCTCTGAGGGCCCGGAGGTCCGTATCCTTGCCCAGGATAGGAGCCTCCTTGCTGGGGACCAGGACCTGCTGGAGGGCCTTGCTGCTGCTGGGAGTAAGGGTTGGGTCCTCCATATGATGGCTGGCCACGCATTTTCCCTACTTGCTCCATTGGGCTCGGAGGCTGGAGGACACACAGAAAGAAAATTCAGTGTTTAAAAGGTCACCTATTATGCAAAATCCACTTCTTCATGTCTTCTCTACATCAACATGTGTCCCCTCTTCCTCATGTCTTTTCTACATCAACATGTGTCCCCTCTTCTTCATGTCTCTTCTACATCAACATGTGTCCCCTCTGTGGAAAGAGACTCTGAAAGTTTCAGGAACAAAGATTCTCTCTCTCTTTGTCCTGATCCATTTATATAAAAACCTGTCTGAAAATGAGCTGATCAGATTTTGGCCACTTTATGATGTCATAACGATGTTTTGGCTTGTGTAACCATTAGCCAATCACCAAGTACTTTGTCGTTCTTAGTTCCCAGCACTTAGTTCCCCCATGGAACTAAAGAGCCGATCGCGTTCACGCCGGAATAAGTCCCTGAGGGAAGATTCTCTCTCCGTTGGTGCGCGGGGCTAATGCTAATGCCAGCAAATACAATGGCGGCTTCACAAAACTTTTCAGAGTTTTACAGGCCGTGGTTTGCAATTCGCCCAGCCAATCAGAAATTGGTACTTTTTTCTCCCCAGGAAAGTACCTGCTCTCTAGCAGGGTCTAAAAATGGGGGTACAAGTTCTCTCAACTAAGTTCTCTTTTTGGTGTGAACGCAAAATTCCAGGCACTAACGGAGCTATACGGGAAAAGTACCGGGTGAATGCTCCGGTGTGAAAGCGCCTATTGTGTTATTTTTAACCAAATATCTCTCAGAGGGGCGTGGGGAGGGGCTCCTTATTTTCATCTAAGTAACAGACAGAGAATCAGCACTTTTGAAACAGGGCTGAAACAGAGGGGATTATGGGTAATGCCTGCAATGATCTGTTTGGTGTTTTCAGCAATCAGAGGACAGGCTCTGGATTATATCTGAGAGCTCTATAATATATTGATGGAAAAAACAGGGATAAAAATAGGGGACCTTTAATCAGCTCTCTGAATTGAGAGGTAATGTCTGTCATTGGATTTGGTGGATGATGGTTATGTGTTTCGTAGTTGTATTGCTTTTATTGGACGGTGCAGCCCAACATTACTGACAAGCTTAAACGAGCCCATAATGATGCAGCTTGAATAGGTATTGTTCTCAATCAGACATGTTGACAGCAAAACCGTTAGAAGGGGTTATTTTGGATCCTTTTAAGTGGGGTTCTTTTCTTTAAAAAGCAATTACTCAGCAATGAACACAACGAGTTACCATTGTGTCGTTGCAAGGCATCATCTCATAAACCCGTTCACATCATCAAAGCACAGAACAAAGCCAGATG